TTCTTACTTCTGTTTTTTAACATTTATTTATTCAAAATGCAGAGTTACAGAAAGATCTTCCGTCTGCTGGTTCACTCCCCGGACGGCTGTAACAGTTGGGCTTGGAACTCCATCTGGGTCGCCCATGTGTGTGCAGGGGCCCAAGCACTTGCGCCATCTCCTGGTAGACAGATGCACAGGGGGCTGGATTGGATGTGGAGCAGCCAGGACTTGAACCAGTGATAACATGGGATGCCAGCATCGCAGGTGGCAGTTTAACCCGCTGTGCCACAATGCCGGCCCCTCTGTTTGGTTTTCCAGGTGCCGTCTCGTGGTGAGGCGCATACTGGGCACCTGTGCTGATCTGACCTTGCTACTGAGTGGGTGCTGCTGGTCATTTGTTCTTAGTGCCTTGTGTGTCTGCATTGGTAGCCTTGGAACCAGAGTACCTCCTTGGCTTTTGATCTAAGCCTGTAGTATACAATGTGGTCGTTTTTGCAACAACAATAATGGGAAAGTCTTAAGTTACTTTCAAGGCAAAACAATTTAGTATAGTTCTGGTAGCACTATCTAGAACAATGCCATTCATACAAGGGCACTACAAAAAGTTGATGGAAAATAGAAGAAAAGTTGATTTTGTGCAAAAACAATTTTGAAGCTTATGCAGTTTTTTTTTTCATAATATTCCTTTCCATGACTTTTTGGAAGGGCTCTTACATTTGGTTGCCTTTTTTTTTTTAGAGATTTATTTATTTATTTGAGTGGCAAAGGCAGAGTGAGGGAAAGACAGAGAAAGGTCTTCCGTCCTCTGGGTCACTGGACAAGTGGCCTCAACACAGAAACTGGGCCAATAGGAAGCCAGGAGCTTCTTCTGGGTCATCCACTTGGGTGCAGGGCCCCAAGCACTTGATCCGTCTTTGACTGCTTTCCCAGGCCACAGCAGAGAGCTGGATCAGAAGAGGAGCAGGGGCTGGCGCTGTGGTGTAGCAGGTAAAGCCGCCACCTGCATTGCTGGCATCCCATACAGGAGCCAGTTTTAGTCCTGGCTGCTCTACTTCAATCCTGCTCTCTGCTGTGGCCTGGGAAAGCAGTGGAAGATGGCCAAAGTCTCTCTCTCTGTGCCTCTGCCTTTGTGTACCTCTGCCTTTAAAATAAATAATTTTTTTTTTATAAAACAAGAAGAGGAGCAGCCATGATAGGATCGCATGCCTATATGGGATGCTAGTGCTTCAGGCAGAGTCTTAGCCCACGATGCCACGGCACTGGCCCCAACTTGGCCCCTGTTTAATCTCAGCTCTCTCCATAATCTTAGGATTCTCAGTGTAAAATGTCTGTAACTCTTGGGACAGTGCCGAGCTGGGGACAGAGGAGCGGCCTGGCACTGCAGCATGTGTCGCAGCCACATCCCTCTCGGCCTTGTAACAACCCCCAGTCAGCCGTTCCGAGCTCTGCTGTCATTGGAAAGAAAAGCGGGTTCCTGTGGGGGAGGGGCTGTTTGTTCTCTTTTTCCATGGGAAGGAAGCAGGCGTATTTCCCTCGGCCTCTATGGTTAAGGCAGAAATACCACTCGTTTGCATGTTCCCTGTGTCTCTGCGTTCGCACACCTGTGCACACGCTTGTGGGCACACAGCTTAGACGAGCACTTGCCGCTTTCTGGTAGTGGCTGCACTTTGGGGCAGTTAGCAGGAGATTAATATGGAAGCACAGGTCAGTGCCCCACTCGTGGGTCAGATGGAGGTCATCCTGACATACTGTTTTAGATTGGCCATTTTCTCCACTTATTGTTTTAATTTTGTGAACTTGGTCCCCATGGCTCCTGGGTACAGGAAGCTGATTACATCCTGGAAAATGAACGTGGCCCCAGCTTCCCCTGGGACCCACCCTGTGCTCTTGCCTCGGGCTTGTTTTATCCTGGGCTCCAGTGCTTTGGGTCGGAAGAGAAATTTCGGTTGCTGCCGTCTGCATTGGCGTCTGCTGGGCGCCCCGGGCAGCCATTTCTAAACCAGTCTGTTCATTTGAAATGCGGTCCCCAGCTGCAGAAATGCCACAGCTGTCCCTGCTGCCGACTCTGGCTCTCAGTGTGGGATGTGAGGAAGAGGAGGACGCCACCTCTTTGTGGAGGAAGCCGTGAGCAGCTGTGCGCGCCTTTGGGGCTTTGCCACTGAAGATTCGCAGCCTGCGGGGAGATGGCTGCCGTGGGGTGGATGCTGTCCCGCCTTCTCCAAGGCCTGGGCCCGTGGGCAGCCTGCCAAGTCCTGTTTTATGGCCAGAAACAGCCCTGAGGAGCCTCAGGCCCCCGGTGCCCACCAGCCGGGTCAGGACCAGTCTCCTCCCAGTCCCACAGACAGGCACCATCCAGAAGGCTCTCTGGATGGATTCTGGCTTCTGAAGTGCAGTCCAGGGTAGTGTGAGGGGCTGCAGCAACCCGCGGAGAACGAGATTGGCAGACGTGAACCTCCCCGCGCTCTCTCCTGTACACGTTCCCCCGCCGTGAAGACGCTGCCTTTGTTGGCAGCTGCTGATCTGTTGGTCTCTGCCCACTCTCCCTACCGCTTGTATTCTGACATTGATGTTGGCATTGACCTCAAGTGGGGAAGAAAGGCAGGCGTCTGCTGCTTGGAGCTTTTTGTTAAGAAGCCCGTCCATGCCCTGAATCGTGCGTCTCGGGGGAGACGGTGGTGGAAGAACTGACGGGAGGTGGAGGTTGTCAGGTGGGCGCCCACGCCACGCCCGCCATCAGAAGCCGGCACAGAGCAGGTGGCGTGGAGGGGACACCGGTCCCGTCCCGTAAGCAAAGGTGCATCACGATAGTTCTGCAAACGGTGGCCGGAGGGAACTCACAGCCAACCAAGCACCCTTTCCTGTGTGCCATTGAGTAGGCGTGTTTCTGTTTCTTTTTAAGATTTATGTGTTTACTTATTTGAGAGGTAGAGTTACAGACGGAGGGAGAGAGAGAGAGGTCTTCCATCCACTGGTTCACTCCCCAAATAGCCACAACGGCTGGAGCCGGGCCGGGCCGAAGCCGAGGAGCAGCCGGGAGTTGAACCGGTGCCCATGTGGGATGCCCGCATCGCAGGAGGCGGCTTTTCCTGCTATGCCACAGCGCCAGCCCCCACGTCCATATTTTAATTTGCTCCTTTCATTTGCTTCAGCGCACTGTTTGCTAATAGGATGAAGATGCACAATTGCTGTTTAATTAACCTATTTCTGTCAGCACCTCACATGAGCTGCGTGAAGGAGTGCTACAGTCTCAATAATCATGAGACGGGTAAAAATAACAAACATGAAATGCGTGCCAGTCATTTCGCAAGTTATGCCAAATTGCAAGGAGGCCCAAGGTTAAAAAAAAAAAAAAAAGCAGGTTACCTTACAGAGATGGGATTGAGAAGAGGAGCAAGAGTACAGAATCCCTCAGAAGTCCAGTGAAAGTTTGGAAGCGGGTGAAGGTTCCTGGGGTCCCCTGGCGGTGCCGCTAACTGCGGGTCACAGGTCTCTGTGAGGCCATGCCTCGGGCACAGCTGAGTCAGCCGTGAGCCCCTGGGGCTGGGGAGCTGCCCCCAGGGCCGTGTGAGGGCTGCCTTTCCAGCTGTGGACCAAGGTGTCTTCTAGGTGCTGCTCCACTTCTCTTTCCCTACGACCGGTGGCAGAGTCAGGGCAGTTTCCGTTGTCTTGGGCTCAGTGACACACGTTACTCCACCGGAGGTGACGCACCTGGCCACAGGGACAGAACCACGCCTCCCTGCGCCTGGGGTTCCCCGGAGAAAACATGACAAAGACGCTGTCCCCAGAAAGTCACAGGGCCCCGGTGACCGGCTCCCGGCTGGGCGTCTGGCTCCTCTTGCGCGTGTTCCGCACTCAGACCATCCGTGCTCCGCTGCGTGAGGCCTCCCTGCCCAGCTGCCCTCGCCTTTCCTCGTGGCCCCGGCCAGAGTATTCACTTGCCCCCACCCTTCAAGCTGCTGGGTAGGGGACTGTGGTGCCTCCCAGATCCCCCAGAGACACCCCAGCCCCCGGGCTGGGGCCATGACAAACAGGCCCTCTTCCATGCCCATGCCTGTCCTGGCTGTCGGCAGGTGTGAGCTTCCTTGGGCTGGGCCCCACTCTCTGGGTGCTAAGGCAGTCATAGAATGGGATTTCGCGAGCGTCCTGGAGGCCTGGGCCGGGGAGCTCCCTGAGCAGGTCAGGAAGCTGGGCCTGGCAGGCGACGTGCATCCTACAGGCCAGCTGTTCTCTGTCGCGGGGCTGGAGCTGGAGCTCAGGTTTCTGAGCCCCTGCTGTTTGCTCCCCCCTCTCTCTAACCATCTGTTTGTGACTCTATGTAATCCCACGTGGGCCCTCCCCCCAGCCCGGGAAGGCGTGACCAGGAGCAGGTGTTGAGCCCAGGGGTTAAGATGGCCCTGGTTAAGATGCCAGGGCTGCCGTGTCTGTAGACCCTGGGAGGCCGCCAATGATGGTGCAAGTAGCTGGGTCCCTGCCTCCCTCATGGGAGGCCGAGTTGCATCCCCAGCTCTTGGGTTTAGCCTGGCCAGACCTGGCCGTTGTGGGCCTTTGGGCAGTGAATCCGTCCAGGCGATGTGGTGCGTGCTCGTTCGCTGTCTCTCTCTCTCTCTCTCTCTGTCAAATTAATAATTGAAGAGTGACACATGAGCTGCATCTCACTTTCCCTGAAATGGAATGCTGCGGGTCCCTGACCCAGATTTGCTTCCCTGAGGTCAAATCTGCCTGAAAAACCACTTCTTCATACCGCATCACAGGGTGGCCCCACTCTGGCAAAAAGCCTGTTCTGTTCACAAATGCTCACAGTCAGGTCTAAAATCCCTCAGCAAACCCGGCAGCGCCCGGGGCTGCCTGCGGGTGGCCCCGAGTGCACCCGGGAGGTAGCAGAACAGGAGGTGTCCCTTGGGCCACGCAGACCCGGTTCGCAGGCCTCTGCCCCCCTTCCCAGCGAGGAAGCCCAAGTCTTTGGAGTGGAAAACACCCAGCAGCCGCAGCCCAGCCCCTGACAGAGCCTGCTGGAGACTGGCACGTGCGCGCTCCATGGGGTCCCCCGGGATCACACGCCACAGCCCACAGCTGCCTCCTCAGGAGCGCATCCGGCGGCTGAGGAATCGCACGGATCGCCGGTCGGGAAGCAGACCCCAGTCCGCAGCGCTTGCCCTGCAGTCCGGAGGCGGCTGTGCAAGTCTGGGAGCAGCGAGACCCGCTGACTTCCTGAGCCGGCTCCGCTGCGGTGCGGATGCGCGCGCCTGCCTCCCGGGGCGCATCTTTGATCCCTGTGCTAATTGCGCTGCTCCTTTGGGGAACACAGCCGTGGGGCCCGGCGCTCCCTGATTAGAGCTGGCGCAGGGCCATGCAGCGCCTCAGGTCCCAGCTGGGAGCGGGGCTTCGTTACCGCCCAGCTGCCGGAGCACACCAGCTCACCCCGGAGGCTGGAGCTCGGTGGATCCGCAGCGGCTGCCCGGTGAGCAGGGTCGGCGGTGCGCGGACTCTCCGGCCTGTGAGTACTCAGCTCTCCCGGAGCCAGCCCTTGTGAGCGAGGCTCTCTGCCCTGGGCATGGGAGGCTCAGGGCCGGTGCGTGGGCGGCAGCTGGCTGGGGAGGTGGAGGGGGACCCCCAGGCGCTCTGCTGCTGTGGGTTCGTCCCAGGGAGTCCGTTGATGGGTATCTGGAGGCAGGCAGCGGCTGCAGGTGTGCCCCACGCCGGCCAGGGCACTTGAGGACCCTGGTGGCTGGGGCTGTCTGGCCAAGCCCTCCTGCATAGCTTGGGGCTGTTTGGAAGCTGTGGCAGGAGGCTCCCCACTGGAATATCTACATCCACGCCCTGTGTGGCTTGCTTGGGCCGAGGGTAAGAGGAATTCTGGCTTTACAACTTGGGAGTGTGCCCCTCAAGCCCAGGTTGGGATCGTTAATCTGCAAGACGCTTTTCTCCTGAGACGCTGTCAGAAGTCAGAGTCAGCAGTGGCTCTCACCTGTGCCTTTAACGTGATCGATGGCTGGGACAGTAAAGACCCTCTCGCTGAGGAAGGGGGTCCTGTCCCCAACCTAAGGGTCATGCGCACTTTGCTTGCTGGGCTGTTGTGCAAACAGAGCTGGAATAAAAGAGGCTTCAACCACTGGAGCCTGAGGGGCACCCAGTGAGCTTGAAATTGTTCATGCCTGTAGGGGGGGCTTGCACTGTCTGTGCTGCACCCAAGGCTGGAGGCAGAGTTTGCAGGAAGGGGCCAAGGTAGGAAGAGACCCCAGGCAGAGCGGGCACCCGCTGAGAAGGGCAGCCATCGCTTCTGGATGTGGCCGAGAGGAGCAGAGGGGGAGGGAGGGAGCCAGAGAGAACTCGAAATAGATACTTGTTTCCGTGAACTGGGGCAGTGTCAGGGCGAGCGAGACAGCCCGGCAACTAGCGCCCAGCCCCGCGGGATGCAGCCAGCGCAGCAGGACCCCAGGCCGTCCATCCCTCAAACTGTTCCCTCTGGAGAAGTGAGTGCACCCTGGGGTCTGGTGCTGAAGGCTGGGCCAGGGCCAGGGCTGGGGGCGTTCCCCTTCTCCCCTCCCTGGGAAGAGGGTGCCCGGGGCCCTCAGCTGCAGGAGAGGTGGTGGTGTTTTAGGAACCTGTGAGGAACGCAGCAGCAGGTTAGTTGAGGTCCGGGGCTGCTTTGTTACAAGTCTCGCTGTGTGTCTGCCTACTGGGGTAAGTGTTGCCGTCTGCCGAAGTCCAGTGCCGTCCTTGGTCCAGCTCCTCCGCTTTTTTTTTTCCCTTGTGCTCGGTGGGGACTTGGCATTTTGTAGGACAGTGTTTTCCAAGGTGGTCACATGGCTTCTCTTCCCCAGAGATTAGAGTGATGCAGTTGTCACTGGTCGGAGAGGTTTGGCGGTGCTGAGGCTGTGCTCCGGCCCCCGGGGAGCATCCAGGGCCCGGGGAGGGTCCAGGGCACTGTCTCCAGTGTGCTTGATCTGCAGTGGAGAGGAGTGGGTGCCCAGGCTGGGGTTCTGTGCCTGGCAGGCGGGGAAGCCAGGTGGGGGCTGTGTGTGCCCTGGAGGAGTGGAGAGGGCTCGTGCTGCTGCCCCTGGTCAGGGTGCTGCGTCTCTGTGGGTGCCTGCTGCACGCCATTCTCCCTGCCCACCGCCAGCCCTGCAGGTGGACCCTGGACAGCCCCTTGGCTCCCACAATAGGGAGGCGGCCGTGAGTAGGGACCTGCACTGGGCGGGCCCCCTTCCTCTGCAGCCTGGGCCATCGCTGAGGGGCTGGAAGTGAAGCCCCGGGCAGCTTACAACGCGATGGAGAAATAGAGTTTAATAACCCTGTGCTTTCAGGTTTCAGACACGAGCAAGCCTGGCCCGGCACCCGCCACGTGTGCGCCTCTGGGGTCTGCTTGGGGGCAGGAGGGGGGATTTGTGCTCTCCTCCTCTGGGTGCTCCAGCCTCCAATACACAGCCCCCGGGGGGCAGGGGGTGTGCACAGGTGCTTCCAGCTGAGGGACCTGTGACCTCACGGCCCCTGCTCATGACCTCACGGCCCCTCCTCGTGACCTCTTGCTCCCAGCCCCTCCTCTTGCCTGGCAGCAGGACCAGTGGGCTGCAAGCAAAGTAGCTCACGGAAACCTTTGTTCAGGACGCAGCTCTGTGGTCCCAGCCCTGTGTGGTGCTGATGGGTCCCTGGGAGGCTCCGCTGTGGCACTGGGGGAGGCTCGGTGCTGGGACCGTGGGCCTCTCCTGTGTGTCTCCACCGGAGGAAGCCGCCACGGTGTTGGCGGGCCGGCTGGAGCAGCAGGCGAGTGTCGCGCTGAGCTGCTGGTGCGGGGAACCAAGTCTAGGTGCGTGAGCTGCTGTGCGGTGGTGGGACGGAGGCATTGACGTCGATAGCAGGGGGTTGTCGTGTGCCAGGTCAGGCCGTCACCGCGGCCTCCTCACCCCCTCCCAGTGTTCCCAGCAGGAGGTCTCCATTCATGGCTTGGTCTTCTGGAGCCTGGGTCTGAACGCCATCCCTTGGTGAGCCTGTGGGCTGTGTTTGTTCATGCAGACCATAGAGCTGGTTTCCCACGCTCGTGAAGAGCCCTGGCTTGTGGGCTGTAGGCTTGGGAGTGCAGTCAGTGGCGCACCCTTGATTGCCCACAATCACCTGGTGCGTGGGGACTGCTTCAACGCAAGCGACACGGTGGTGACAGGCAATGCGTGCTCCTCTGTGGCTCCTGGGTCCTTGGTTATGGAGACGCCAGGGCTCTGCTTCCAGCTCTCAGAAGGTCCTTGCGTTGACTCCAGATGTTCTGTTCCGTAGCCGATAGCTCCAGGGCTTGTCAGGCTCTGAGCTGAGGCTGAGTGTGCTTAGCGCTCGGGCCTGGGCTTGGGTGTCTCGGCTGGCACTGCCCAGGAACGGAACTCGTGCCCGTGGGCGTGGCCTTCCTCTGTTTTTTTTCGGGATGGGGGGCTGGGACGGTTTGCTGTGGAGAGAGCAGTGAGGCACCTGCAGCGCCTTCGGGTGTGGGGGTGTAAAACGGGAGCTCTGTGTCAGGAGCTGAGGGAGGTCAGAGAGGCTGGCTGGGCGTGCTTGGGGCACAGAGGTGCGGCTGCCAGGAGGAAGCCCGCTCTGCCGGATGGAGATTTGAACGCCTGCCAGCCAGGAAGTGGAGGAGCTGAGAGCCCCGCTCTGCCCTGCAGCGGACGAGCGAGGTGACTGATGACGCCCGGTGTGAGGACGCCGGGGCTGCTTGCTGAACCGTTGGCGTGGGTCCCACCAGGATTCCGTGCAGTTGACTGAGAAACGGGCGTCAACGAGAGACAGCGGGAAAAGGGATGCGTTGGGCTCTTGTCTCTGCGGCTGGCACCTGAGCACAGTTATCTTAGATGAAGTGGGTATGGCCCACCCCACCCCAGGTTCCCTGGGCAACCCCTGTAGTCCCAGGGGTCCTGCCTCACCCCAACCTCACAGTTCCCTGGGTGACCCCAGGAGTGCCGTGGAGCCCCCAGACTCCTGAATTCCTTTCGCTTCACTTCTCCCCGGCCGAGCGTCCTGTGCGGAGCCTGTGAGGGTCTCCAGGCGTGGACACAGATAACCTCGTCTACAGCACAGGAGCCTCACGGCAGTCGCCTTGCCCGTCAAGCCCAGTCTGCGTTCCGACAGCGTGCGTGCTGAGCGTGAATCCAGACCTGGGACATGCGTGGCTCCTCTCCCCGCCAGCGTTCGGGCTGCGTGCTCCCATGGACAGGGAGCACGGGCTTGGGGGGCCTGGTCCTTGCCCAGCCCCTGGGCCTCTCCTGCGGAACTCTCACGGCCCCGGGCTGGTGCTCTTGTTGGCTCCCTGCAGGGCTGTGCTTCTTGTTGCCAGGAGCCTCGGTGGCAGGCGGCTCCACCCACACACGCGGAAGCACTAAAAATGACCTCGACCCCGTCCCCTCCACTGTGGGAGGGAAAACGGTCCCCCCGGCGTGTGTGTGTGAGCTGAGATCTTTGTAAATCCTGATGTTTGCTAAAAGCTGTGACTGAATGATACGCTGATGATTGCACGGCTGTTTGCTGAGTTTTTTTTTTTTTTTAAGATTTATTTATTTATTTGAAAGAGTTGCAGAGAGAGGTGGAGAGAGAGAGACAGGTCTTCGATCTGCTGGCTCACTCCTCAAATGGCTGGGTTGATCTGAAGCCAGAAGCCAGAAGCCAGGAGCTTCCAGGTCTCCCACCCAGGTGCAGAGGCCCAAGGACTGGGGCTATCCTCTGATGCTCTCCCAGGCCATGGCAGAGAGCTGGATGGGAAGCAGAGCAGTCAGTTCTAGAACCGGAGCCCATATGGGATGCCGGCACTGCAGGCAGCAGCTTTACCTGCTATGCGTGCCACCCCCCCATCTTTACAAAGATGGAGGACGGGGCCTCCTGCGGTTTGCAGTCAGCATCCCAGTGCCCAGGTTTTGAAGTGGAACTTTCTGCCCCCTTCCCTGCCTTCGTGGGTTTGTTGTGTGCCTCTGAGGGTGACAGCCAGGTTGAGGGGAAACGGTAGCATGGATCATGGAATCTTAGGTCTGTAAGGGGTGTGCACTTTGCTATGTAGTCACTGCTAGAGGGTCAGAGACAGCCGAGACAGCATGGCCCAGCCTGCGGTGGCTGCACGTGGGGTCTCTGTGTCCCAGCCCTGCGTGCAGCTCTTCCCTGGCCATCGTCCCTCTGGAGTTTCTCTTTGGACTCGGTTCAGAGGTTATAAAGCCAGAGAGCCCCAAGGCGGAGGCCACGGAAACCCGCAGCACAGGTGAACCCCGGGGTGGGGACAGACTGGGGGTCGGAGGACAGGGGCGCGCAGGGTCTGCTCAGGGCAGCCAGGCAGCGCACCCAAATGTCACTGAGGCAAGGGGTCCTGGGCCCACCGTCTCTGCACCTCACTAACGGTGAATGTCTGAGAGCTGAACACAGCTCTGGACTCCAGACAGGTGCAGTTGTAATTCCATAAGGGGTCCTCACATTGGTGAGCAGAAGACAGGGACTCAGGGCACCCAGGGCTGGCCCGGCCCCGGCAGGCAAGCC